TCTCTTCCGAGAAAACAACCAACTTTAATCCACTAATAAAACAATGTATATGTATAAATTTGTGTAGCATTTTGAATTCAAAATGAAGGCCAACACAATGACTTGCGTGTGAATATATTACACTCATGTGGTAAATAATTCCAAGATAATTAAATAATCTTTCCTTTTTTCTATACTTCATATAAGATATCCTGTCTCAGTAGCTTAACTAGTTGAACTTCCATTCCACCAACAATGCTTGACCTTGTTCAGGTTAAACACATTGACAGGTCACGTCAAACTCGAATGTGAGAATTGATTAGCCGGATATGTATAATTTCTCTCTAATTTAATTTGTTGTGCATGGACTAGTTTATTATGAATTGAGACATTTGGTTATTTGTCTAACAGTGCCTCACTTGCCAATCAGCTAAGACAAACTAAAACACTGCTTTCACAAGCAAATTCTGACAACATCTGTTTGAATTGAGTGGCACAATATTGTCTCTGAGTTTTGTCTGCCAATGCCGTCCTTAAACGGATGGCAACAGTTGAAAGCTCAAGTAGTTATTCATAACTAAATATGAATTAAGGAATGCAAGTAGCAACAGTAAGGCTTGATGAAAATTCATCCAAATTTTCATGTTTCATTATTCAAACCATGCAAGGGTGATCATTCTTCCTTCCACAGTCCATCCTCAAATCTCGCATACTGCTTCAAAATGGACAACAGCTGCTGCAGGTATTAGTTAGTTCAGTGGGAAGGTCTGATAGCTACTGGGGAGGATTGGCTTCCTTTAGCCTCTGTTTGTTGCAAGTGATTTACTGTTTCGAAGGATAGAAAAGCGGGATGAATTGCGTTTGTTGCAACTGATATGAGACGATTTGCAGGCGCGGATTTGAGGGAGAGGGGAGGAAACAGTGCATCCACGCCTCCTCTAATTTATGCGAGGATTTGAGCGGATAGCAGAGAAAGACAGGTCATCAACTGATAAATGACTTAAATACCCTTTTCCATGTGCAGCATGTGAACAGACAGTATGATAGCGGTTAAATTTTAACCGCTATTATAATAACACTTCTAATAGCGGTTAAAACATAACCGCTATTATATAGCACTTATCATAGCGGTTAAAACTTAACCGCTATTATAAAGCACTTCTAATAGCGGTTAAATCTTAACCGCTATTATATATTTTCAGATATGATCGATAATTTTAAAATGTAGTCGATCATAATCGAAAAATTTGGATGTCGCTCGAGCGACGTTAGTTTCGCTCAAGCGAAAAACAACCCGAGAATGAAAATTATGTGCAGGTGTCTTCGCTCGAGCGAGTTTAATGTCGCTCAAGCGAAATACAACTTGTAATAGTGGTTAAACCATAACCGCTATCTATTATATGCTTTAAATAGCGGTTACAGAGGAACCGCTATGATATCTTCCAATTATGATCGATCATTTGAAATTATGATCGATCAGGATGGTCTTTCGCTCGAGCGAGGGTATAATCGCTCGAGCGAAATACAACCCGAGACTGAATCTTAAAATATTTTGGAGCCTTTAGATAACGGTTATTCTGGAACCGTTATCAGATGTGAACATATGATAGCGGTTCGAGGTGAACCGCTATGTTAAGTGTCCAGGTTTTGGGAAAGTGATCGATCATTTTGGATAAATAATCGATCATTTGAAAACTTTAGATAGCGGTTAACATATAACTGCTATCACAGGTTACTTTTAAGAGCGATTATCTTTGTAACCGCTCTTAAAAGGGTATATATAATAGCGGTCCAGTTTAACCGCTATCTTATATATATTTGTAATAGCGGTTATTACTGGAACCGTTATCTAAAATCTTGATCATTTGACAAATTATATATTCTAAACACGACAGAAGGAGGTAAGTCATGAACAGAAGTCACGGGTCCGTACATGCAGTGGTCACGGGCATGCATGACCAACTTCACGTGTTCACGAGTGATAGAAGTTACGGGACTTATTCTTTCTTCTCTAGTTACAGACTCGATAGGGAAAGTTATTGTATTATATAAACCAAAGCTAGTCTCATAAGACTAGCTAAAAGACTCTAGCAAAGCAAAGCAAAGCTACTCTGTTGTAGGTTGGATCTTCGCCGGCGGCCATTAACTTCGGTGTGAGCTTGGTTGGTACGTTTGTTTTTGGTATATTGTCGGAGGGACACCCCAGGTATGGTTCTGTGTCTTCTCTGTCATGGTTGGAACATAAAACTTGGTTGGTACGTTTGTTTTTGGAGTGTGTGTGCATGCATAAGAGTGTGTGTGACCATTTAGATTTGAGGTATAAAACATGGCCAAACCTCCTCCACTCCAACAAAAAATGTGCACCATACGACCATGGTTTCTGACTTGTGCATTGGTTATTAGTAGTTTTGTAAATAATTTTTGGTTTTGTGATACTGGTTTGCAGATGACAATTTTGAATTACCTCCATTAAACATTAATTAATTAATTAATTATATATATATATATATATATATATATATATATATATATATATTTGCAGATGGCGACAAAAACATCGAGGTCATTGGTTTAGACAATGACGATATAGATACTTGGTCTGGATATAAACATGATTTCACATATACAAAGTGAGATAAAAAAGCGAGGCGAAATAGGAGCGATGACAATTCTTTGTTTGATAGCTTATGGATTAAATATGTTGTCTATGGTAACTTGTAGTAGCAGTAACATTAGGGACTTTATTTCTGAAAAAGAACGTCGTCGGCACGAGTTGATGTCATACCTTATTCATACTGAACAATCTCGTCACATTATTCGCATGGGACCGGAGACGTTCATTAACTTGTGTCAACGAGTAAGGACAAGCTGGATTAGTAAACGATGGGTTACAATCAACGAGTGGAAGAACAAGTGGCTAAATTTCTCCATATTATCGGACATAACGTTAAAAATCGAACTGTTTCATTTTTTTCCATCGATCGGGTGAAACCGTTAGTCGACACTTTCATAACGTGTTGAATGCGATAATTATGTTGGACGAACAATTAATTGTTCAACCATCGGGAAGGGATGTGTGTCCGTATATATTAAGCAACAACCGATTTTACCCATACTTTAAGGTAATGTACTTACCAACTTTGTGTCTATATAACATACACATAGATTGTCTAAACTTTAATGACAATAAATTTTTTACCCATTAGGATTGTTTAGGGGCAATAGATGGAACTCATGTTCGAGTTAAAGTCGCAAGATCAGATGCCCCTCGTTTTCGTGGGAGAAAAGATTGGCCAACACAAAACATATTTGCAGCTTGTGATTTTGACATGAAATTCACATATGTTCTAGCGAGGTGGGAAGGAACGACGATCCGATTCAAGAATATTAAAGGATGTTCTTACGAGAGAGGATCGCCTTATCATACCACAAGGTTTATTATTTATAACATGCGGATTTTGTGTATAGTCAACTAGTTTAAATATTCTAATTAGTATAACTTCAATGATTTTAAATAGGTAAATACTACTTGGGGGATGCTTGGATTTATGTTAAAAGCAAACATAATGACCCCTTATCGAGGCGTTAGATACCACCTTAAAGAGTATTCTCGACGAGCTCCACAAAACCCCCGAGAATTGTTTAACCATCGACATTCGTCTCTTAGAAATGTCATTGAAAGAACATTTGGAGTTTTGAAGAAAAGATTTCCTATAATAGCTAGTGGAACAGAGCCTCATTATTCATTTGATACAATGACGAATATAGTCCTAGCATGTTGCATTCTACACAATTTTCTTCGAGGGATAGACAACGATGAATCACTGTTAGCTGAAGTGGATCGAGAGTTGATGGAACAAGATGTGGATAATATGTCCACTCAAGTTCGGGAAGATGATTATAGGGAAGGGTCAAACTTAAGAGATACTATAGCAAATCAAATGTGGATAGATTATCAAATCTGATAATAGTTGCTTGAATTGATTGCTTAATAGTTGCTTGAATTGATTGCTTTGGATGTTTAAAAACTGATGTTCAATCTATGTTTAATAGTTTCAAGCAAAACTGTTTTTAAAGAGAATTTTCAAATCTGCTGCATTAATTAATCTGTTGAAAGTTTGTTTTAATCTGTTGAAATAGCCGTTATAATCTGTTAAAAGTCCTTTCAACCCATTAATGCGTTCTTGTTTCTTTAACAGAATGGTTTTAGTTCATACAACCATGTTTATATCAGTTAAAACATTTTACAAACATTTTCTGAGAGTGATTCAATCGATTGATTCGCGTTTTAATCGATTGCTTTGCTTAAAAACCTTCTTATACAAAGGAAGGAAAGATCTGAAAGATGTTAGAAAAGAAATTAATCGACAATGTCAAGATCTGACAAAAACACTGTTGAGAAAAGTGGGAGACTAGAAATTATCCAGTGACGCACCCAGAATAAACTACAAACAGATATTTTTAAGTGTTGTGGATATAATATATGTTGCATAGGGTGTTGTTTAAGTGAATAATTAAACTTCAACTAACAAAGAATATTGACCAATGATTAGCTTCGGTATAATCTAGCAATTAATTGTATTAAGAAATCTATTTCTGAAGCGCTGCAGCGTGTGTTCATGAAGAAATTGCGAACAAGATATATAATATTTTAAGCATCAATAATTGGTTGTTTATGCATACCTCATTTGGAGTATAATAAATATTGTTTTCGGCGATGTATTATAGTGTAGTCTCTTTCATGTGCAAGAACAATAGTAGACAGGAAGTAAAATTACAGAAAGAAGCACGCCATGGTCACTCACTGTCCCAGGTACGTTGCTTACTTAAGCGGAAGAGGTTGCAGAAAATTAGATATACAGGATTACAGATAAACTAGTATTAATAATAAAATTATTATTATTATTACGATTGTTGTTGTTATAGTTAAATAAAGACTGGAGCTAATTAATTAACTTACAGAATAAAGGAAGGATGATATTGAAAATAGTAATATTTTGTTGGAATTTGCATGATCGTCTCTAGTAAGGAGGTCTGGCATGAGGAGCATGGCCCCAAGGAGAAGAATAAGCTTCATGGTTCACCTGTTGACCATTCGGAAGACCCAAACTCGGACCAACATTATTGTTATACACTGAAATAGACGACGTCGCTTCGCCGGGACCGCCTCCCATCCCCGGCGGAGACCCGCCGCCACCGCCCTGCTCCTGATCATCCTCCTCCAAGGGCAATCTCTCGTACGTTGCATTGGAAAACGTAGCCGCCATTATCAAAACGGGACCAGCCGCCACCAGCGGGCCCACCACGCCGCCGCCGATGATCTGTCCCTGGCCGCCGGACAGGTAGATGGTGAGACAGGTGGCCCCGGGCGGGGACGGCCCGGGAAGAAACGAGCCGGTGAGGGAGAGGATGTCGAAGCGCCCGTGGAGCGCCATGACGGCGCCGGGCGCGGTGGGCTGGCGGAGAGTGACGTTGACGACGGCGCCGCTCCCGCTGAGAACGGACACGCCGCGCTGGCGCCTCCGTGCGAACTGGACCACACAGTCGGCGATGTCGGCGCCGCTGGCTATCTCCATGACGTGGCTCCGCAGCGCGTTAGGGCTGTCTCGGGTGACGAATATCGGCGGTTTGGGCTTGTTCTTGGACCCCGGTGGACGACCCCTCGGGCGGCGCGTGTTGGTGACGTCAATAGCTCCCTCTCTGGGCTCGTCGCTGTTTTCTTTCTCCTCTTCTTCTTCCCCCGCTTGGTTCCCAGTGACCGCACTCTCGTTCATAGAAAACCCCAGATCCGGTTTTCTCATGGAGTCACCAGAGTTCTCTAGACCCACAGACCCGGCCCACCACCGGTTCGCCATAACTTGAACCAACAAAAGAAAGGTGAACCGATCTCAACTGAAGTAGCAAGAAAATGAATTATATATAGATCGGAGAAGCAAGAGTGATATAGTATTGTTTTTGGTTGACTCAACAGAAACAAAAACAAAAAATAATGAGTAAGGAGAAGAAGAAGAAGAAGAAAAATGAGCTCGGTTGGGACTAAGGTGTGCTTAGGGTTTGTATATTATATATATAATATTTATATATGTGTGGGGTGGGAGAGAAGGTGGGGTGCACGAACTTGCTCACTTCCCGACAATATTGATACATACGAGAGAGACAGATGGAGAAGAAAACTACCGCTACTACTTCCTATTCACTCCTTACCATTTCATTCATACATCACACCTTGAGTTACATGTTTGACCATTTTTGCCTCTGCTGTAACTGTACTTTTGAAAGACTGCAAATTAATAATAAGTATATTAAAATGATAAATATTTTTAAGATAAAAACATTAATATTGCGGTTTATATTTAATATTCTCTTTGTTTCCCCTTTGACTAATGTTTTGAATATATTTATAATTGTTAATATAATCTTATTTTAAGTTACAGCGTAGACCAGCGTTTGAGTTGTGGATGACTCAATAATTGAATTTGGGGATTGTTTGGTGGTGAAATTTGATTTGGTTTGAGCAGAATTAGAATAAAGGAAAGAAGGCGAGAATAGAGGTCACCCCACCATCTTTTGGTTGTTTGTTGCTGCTGATTTGGGTGGAAGTGCGATTCTTTGCTTAATTTTGCGTCTTTTCACAGATGAATGATTTATATATTATTATTATTATATTTACACCACCATCTTTTTATTTTCCGCTCCATTCTATTTATATTCTGCGTTCTTCTCTCACAATTTAACACCTTCTTCTCACCTCCACCGTCGATGAATCTCCCTGCGTACGTTTAACCAATCAAACATGTTCTTTTGTCTATGTCCTTTTTATTTTCTCCTCTCACTTCTCCATAACCTTTCTCTCTCTTCAAGAAATATAAAAAAACTTATCTCCTTTTCTATTGTTATACCCTTTTAATCTTTTTAGTTTTTACTTTTGTTACTATTTTCGTTTATCATTTGTTTATTTCACTCTAATCATCATTCCAACATGCCTTATATATTTATATACATATATTATGTATTCTTATACGTTTGAAGTCACGAAAGAGACTATATCTAGATAATTTGACCAATCGGTGGGTTGATATTGCCCACCATACGTGCATGAATAATTGGAGTTGGGATCTTTCTGCCACTTCAAATTATGATAATATATATAGCCTTTTAAATACAATTAAATATTTATAATTTAGAATTATATGTATAACAATTTTGATTTTGTATGCGATAAACATTACCAATAAAACATGAATTAAATTAATATAGTTAACATGAATTAATATTACGAGAATATTTTTAAATTTTATATTTTATATATTACTCAACTTTATTCGTATTTGATGCGTCAGACGTTCGAATTGTGTGGATAAAATGTTGAAGGTTGGACTTTGATAATTCAACTTAAAAAATCTTGTTTCACTCGCATCAACTATTCAATGTAGAGAAAATAGCCACTTCAGTCAACGGGGATGGTTCTTGTTTTGATTTTTCCTTTAGTTTTCGTTTGATTTTAAACCGGTTGAAACTTAAAACTTCCATGTTGTTTTTTCAACGTTTATATGTTTATTAACCAATCAATTTGAAGAATGATTTGCACAATTCTTCAACCATCTCTTAAGCTTTACTTTCATTAGAGATCGAAAGAGAAAGGTTGTGTAGTCTTTGCTAACTATCGATTGCTTTGGGAATTTCATTTCCTTCTTGTTGAATAAATGTACATCACATTGCAGTTTCTGGTATTATTATCGTTGTTATTTGTGTGCTTTTCTTAATCTTTTTCAGTCAAAGCAAAAAATCTGTTTTGTGTTTATGTCTACTTATTATTAAAACAGCATCAATGAAGATAATTGACATTTGAAGATAGTTCTTTTATATTGATATTATTGAGTTAAATGAAATATAATATAATGTTTGGAATTTCTAACAAAAATACTTTTTTTATTAAATTTAAAATGTTTGAATTAGTTATCATACATATGACTTATTTATTATAAAATATGCAATTTATGTATATTCAACAATATTTTTAATATAAATTTAAATTATTATATAATTTTTACATTAAAAAATATCCGTTTAATGTAATTTTTAGTATATAAATAAATATTTATATCATATTACACGAAAAAAAATATTACCTCTACAATAATATTAAGCTATTTAATTATTAATTATTTGACTAAAATTACAGTTATAGGTGTTCATATAATGATGTGTAAAAGACTTTATATTATTAGTTTATTAAAAATAATATTAAATATAACTTTTAAAATAACTATTATAAAATTTGATAATCTTATAACATATAATATTTATTATGACATAACATTAAAAATAGTGGCAACTTTAAATGTTTGTATTTGTTTTTTTTTCCTTTATTTTATATATATATTGAATCTCAGTGTGTGTGTGTGTTTTTTTTTCCTATTTCCAAAGAAAACTTTGCTACTGCAATCATCCTTCTGCTCCCATGTGACTTCCTCTATGCCAATCAAATTGAAATTCAATAACTCTTTTTTCATCTTCTTTTCCTCATCATTAACTTCATTAAAATATTTTTTTTAAAATATTTTAATTAATATTTTTGTATTTTTGAAAACATATAAAAATAGAGCCACTTTTACTATAAAAAAAAATACAATTCATTTATATATAGGGATCAAATTGGGCCGAAAGTTCTTAGCGGGCCTGTTGGACGCCATTTTAAAGCATAACTGTGTCGTTTTTTAAAGGAAGCTGCTTCTTGGTTTTAAATTTGAGAGTTGCTGAAAGGAAGAATTGTGGAAGGCGAAGAAGTGAAGAGGGATCGAAAGAGAATTTGTTTGTGATGGCGGACGATCTGTTTGAAGGATTGCCACCTCCTTCATCAAACACTCTTGTTCTTCATCATCATCAACAACTTCAACCACATCCAATTGCTGTCGCCACCACCAACGATGTTAACAACACCGAATCCTCTGCAGTTCCGCCACCAAAACCAATCCTCAAAAGTGCCCTCAAGCCATCCTCTGCAGTTCCGCCTCCAAAGCCCATCCTCAAAAGTTCCCTCAAGCGCCCCAACCCTACTCAACCCGACGCCCAAGGTCATTTTCTTCTTTTCCTCCTCTAAATCCACTTTTCTTTTCATTCTCTTCTTCCAATTTTAATAAACACTACCTAGGGTTACTCCAATTCCAACAATTAACTCCATTTAACTCGAATACTTTTTTTTTTCTTCAGAATTCTCGCTTGAACCTTACCTTACGCACATAGGTTTTCCATTTTTTCTTTTGTGTCTTCGCTTTTTATGCTTCAACTCTGAAACCAGTTGTGGGGGTGCGTTTTTATTCAACACTATTTACTTTCCATACTCTTCCCACATTGAGTTGACTACATGGACGCATGGAGAACATGTGTACATGCATCGTGGTTAGAAAAATGGATAACATGCTCGTTTATCATTCAATTGGGTCTGCAAAATTCACCTTCAAGATCCACTTTATTGGAATCCTCTAATTTTACTTTCGCACTGTCAACTTCAGTAATTTCAGTCTTTAACATGTAGCGGTTAAAACTCTGTTGTTGTTAATGATACCTTAAGCTGATTATATCGTAATTTAAGAGTTCCGTATATTGTTTTATCGAAAACAATAACACTATTTGAGCATGCCTTGGTGCTCCTAAACAAATAGAAATCTGTCAGGTTGCGAATTCGAGCCCTCACTTGTCTCTCTTTGGGGTGAGGTAAATGTAAGATCCTCTATATAAATGTTTTCAAAGACGGAAACATTCCCTGGCTTGAACTGGGTGCCATCCCCTCCCCCTAGATTTTATTTCCAAATCAACTAGGATAATAATGTAGTTAAGAATGCTGATATATTGTGCAGTTATTTTTATTTTTTAAAATATTTGCTTCCCTGTTTTAAAATCATGGAGTTGGTATATTTTTTTAAAATTCTGAATTATCTATTGCATTTCAGCTACAGCGCCGAAGAAAAGTTTGAAATTCAAAACCATGACGGATGCTTCTGAAGCACAAGTTGTTGATGCTATGCAGAAGATATCTTCGCACATCAAGAACCCTACAAAGTTTAGCAAGGCTGCAAAGCTTGCTATACAGCTCATTCAAGCAGGAAGTGTAAAGTTAGAAATTATTGATTATTTTTTTGCTATATTAGAAGCTGCAATGTCATCATCCATAACTTGTACAGATCCCTCAGTTCGTGCAGATTACCATTCTCTGTTCTCAGCAGCTCAAAACACCAAAGAAGTAAGATTACCATTTTGTTCAAGTTATTCATAATTCATTGTTAACAATTATTTTTTCTTGAAGGAGGGTTTTGACCCCAATCTATCGTTTAATTCCAGTACCTCAATAAGAAGCAAAAGGATCAATTGGCAACATGGACAATTAATACTGTGGTGGCTAATGATTTATATACAGATGACAGCTTTGTGGTATGATTCTCATTGAATTATATGTTAAACTTGGTCACAACAACTTTCTTCCTATTTGAGACAATGAGAAGTATATTGGAATAATGTGCAATTGGTTTGGGCATGCAGTGCTTTTACAATCATCACAAAATGAAAGTATGCTTTTATTTGTGTGTGTCCATTGCTTTCTTCATAATTTCATAACATTCATGTACAATTGTCATTATTTGATATAGTTATCTTTGAAGTTGTCATTTCTCATATCAATTCATTAGTTTTTCTTGAGCATGAATTGTGACCAGAGATGGATCTAAGTGTCTCAACTGAATGTTTGGTTTTACGGGCTGGAGCCAAAATAGATTGGAGAGGAAAAATGTTTTGGAGCCGTAATAAGATTAGTTGTCAAGTAGATGACTGATTGATAAGCATCATCATTCCCAATCCAGCCATCCACTGTGTTCACCATTACCATACCTTGTGAAAGATGCATATTGGGGCATAAGAGTGCACTCGTGTCTGCACTTGCATGTTGACATGTACACTGACTCCAGGGACAAATTTTGATTTTTGGGTTGTGGGAGTTTGTCTTGGTTGCAAATAACAATGTTCTTCGTTTAAGTGGATTGTTGAATTCCCTGGCATGACACTCTGCTAGCTATTACTTTGACTTTGTATATTTTTGGAGGGACTATTAATGTGTCAAATTATTTGCACTGAAAAATTTGTCTGGATTTTGTCACGTTTCATGCTATCAGATTTATAGTGGAATATTGTTGCTTATTATAATCTTATTAAAGTTGGATCCATAAAGGTTATTTCTTTGTTACTCACGATCTGTTTCTTACTTTTGTACAGTTTTCTAAAGCAGCTGGGCAAATCAAGGAAATTATATCTAATCTTCCTGTTGCAACCGAGGAGGAGGATGCAGAGGAAGCGAAGTGTCTCAACAATAGCACAATTATATCAGATGAAGGTGGTAAAACACATGCCACAGATAATGATAACGATGGAAAGGAAGCTGACCCATTTGGGCTTGATGCTCTGATTCCTAATTCCTCTAAGAAAGGTGAAAAATTAAAGGCAAAGAATGAGGCAGCTGTGGAAACAAGGGAAGATGAGGAAGAAACCAAGAGATTTCTCAAATCACAAAGAGAAGCCTTGATAACATGTTTAGAGATTGCTGCCCGGCGTTATAAAACACCCTGGTAAGTGCTGGTACTGTTTCCTATTGTATCTATACAAACGTTTATCATTTTGACATTATTTGTTATCCTTTCTCTATACAGGTGTCAAACCGTGATTGATATTCTAGTGAAACATGCCTCTGATAATGTGGCAAGATTTACAGCTAGTCAGAGGGATGCCGTTGGGAAATTGTGGGCTTCAATACGGGAGCAACAAACTCGTAGGAAGCAAGGGAAGTCAGTTAATGGAAAACTTGATGTAAATGCTTTTGAATGGCTTCAACAAAAATATGCAAATGAAAAAATTAGCATTAGGCATTCTGTTGGAGCTAGCGGAGATCGTCGTGCACAACAATGGCTTGGTTAAATATTCTTCTGAGGTCAATGAGAGTAATAGAGGAGGATGGTAACAGCAAAATTGTTTAAAGAGAGGAAGAGGACGCGTCCTCGTTATTTCATTGGGTGTTGTAATTGTAACTTTAGTAGGTCTCAGACATGTCTCTTGACTGAATTTCCACAAAACAATTTGGTAGTAACTTCAGGAAACGTGATTTCTTTACCCTTTTTATTTGTTTATTTGTGCAGATATAAGCTATTGATTTGTCTCAAAACATGCGTGTTTGCGTAGTGTGCTTCTATTTGCTAAAACAGTTTGAATAGTATATCATTCCGAAGTTATGTTGGTTGAAATAACTGCTACATGATAATTGAGACCTTCAGGACAGGGCAAACCAAATTTACATTTGATCTAAAAGAAGAAATGTGTTTTAAAACGATTTGGATTTATCATGATAACCTTCTTATCTATGAAATATTTTAATTACTTTAAAATATTATCCCTACCATTTTGAAGCTCAATTAATTTGGAAAAAAAATGTCTAGAGTGATGCGAGCAAATTTTAGTTTAGAAAACCCTAACCCCAGCAAGCTGCATTAGGGGAAAATTTTTCCAAAAACACATTCGATATAACAATTATACTAACGGTTTTACGTGAAGCATTTTCATATGTGTGAGCTTTTATGAGCAACAACAATGCTACATTGTGGCAAATATTTATGAATTAGAAGAAGTCACTCGGCCCTTTGGTCTTCCCGTCTTTGGTTGTAAATTGTTCAATTCAATTTTGGATTTGAGGAGAGTCATATTCACTATTATGCTAACTGTTTCGAGTCTCAACCATATAGTTTTATGTTGCTGGTAACAAAGAATATGTCATCTCTATTTTCATTCACAAGTCTCATTACTTGTTTACTGAAATTGTCTCAACAGTTTCAACTTCAAAAATACCAAAACTTGCATTACAGTGGGTCAAGTGTCCCAATCCAAACACGATATCTGATACAATACACCTTCACCACCTCTAACTTTTCTATGGATAATTCATATACATGACGGATTGACGGTTGCATGTCCTAGTTAAATAGCTATGCATTCTATATATCAAATGGTTATCACCATTATTGCTAACAGGACATTGCCACATCCTTGAGGATAATCTATTAATCAAATTCATTTCTAGGTGACTATATCGTAACATCACCCCTCATGAAAAACACATTGGCCCACCTGTTCCAGCAAAACATCGAACATAATCAAAGATTTAAAAGAAACCACTCACTGTATTAGCCACATGAAGATAATGTAGAAAAGAGAAAAAGAAGGACGATTAATCAATTCTATTAAGTATGAAAAACAAAATATAGTTGCATGTGATCCCAAATGAATAGAACCCATTAAAATGAAAGGCAAGGGATTGAAGCTGAGTTTAAGTTGAGATTCATGAATTGAGAAGAACATTCATTCCCCTGCTGTATCCTTTTCTATGAGTAGACTCACTCACTCCCAATCTTCGTCACTCAATTGATCATCGTTCTCTTCTTTTGGCGGTCGAACGACCAACAACACGGTTCCTAAACACTCAGTGAAACCCTTTTCCTTCAATGTGAAGCCCCTCTCCACCTTCAAACCTCCACCATCACCATAACCATTAACGAGATAAAACCCATTATCGGCACCCACTTCTCTCTCACTCCTGTCAGCCACCACCAATATAGCCTCCTCCTTGTACCACCGATTAGCCTTCCACGGCAAAACCCTCGCGTCCGCAAACGACACAACAACACCCCCTTTTCCCAAACCCACCACAGGGTCCCACCCAGGCAGAACCACCCACCTCCCCCACCCCTTCTCCGCCACCACCACCCCAAACTCTCCCTCACTCCTGCACTCAAACGGCGCCTCCAACACCTCCCTCTCATCCGCCGCGCACACCGGAAGCACCACCACCGAACTCGCCTCCGCCACCTCCCCAATTCTCAACCTCACCACGGGAACACGCGCCACACTCTCCTCATCCTCCTCCTTATCCTCCGTCTCACCATTCCCCTCCAACTCCTCCAACACCTCTTTCCTCGCCCCCTCCGTCTCCGCCACGCGCAGCGCCTGCTCCAGCGCCGAACTCCTCTGCTCCGACGGGTTCCTATGCTCCCTACTCTGCCGGTAGTACATGAAAGAGAGACAATCTCCGGGGAGAGTGTAATCAAAGCTCTCCCACCCCTTATCCCCGCGCCTGCTCGGGAAATCCTTCATTGCTCGCGCCAGCTCCTGCGCGGCCTTCCCGTCGCTCCGATTCTCAACAAGGAAACGCGCGGCGGCGACGCGCTGTGACGTGCTAAGAAGGCGGATCTCGTATAGGATCTCGGCGCCGCCGGTCTCGAAGGCGCCGAGGAGCCCGGGGTCGGCGTTGGACTCGACGAGGGAGTCGCGGACCTGCGCCGCAACGATGAGGCGGTTCTGCTCGACGCCGGAGATGCCGGTGGTTTCCTCAATTACGGGAGGGGAGAAGCCTTCGCGGATGAGGGAGGTGATGAGGGGCGCGTACTGGTACCAGAGGCCGAGGCGGTTGGCGAGGATGTCGATGCGGCCAGCGATGTCGAGGGTCCCGTATTGCGAAGGGAGGGGCTCCGGGGGAGGGCGGAAGGGTTGGTAGACTTGCTGCTGCTGCGGCGGTGGCATTTGGTGCTTCTTGAAGGAATAAGGGTTTATTATGGCGGAGATGGGTTTAACGGAATGGCGACGGTTAAAGGAGGATGAAGAAGGTATGAGAAAGAGATCATTGGGATTATTGGGTTTGAGGTTTAGAGTGTTTGCAGTGACAGAAGGGGAGAGAGAGAGCATGTTGCAGAGTGTAGAATGCAGAATGCAGAGTGAAGAATGAAGTTCACCTTATCTGATGATCCCACCACTTTCTAAGATTTTTTTTTTCTCCTCAAATCAAATATCTTATCCCCTCTCTCTTTTATACTTGTGGCAATTCTAATATCAAGAATTTCATTACATGATTCCATATGAATAACCACTAATATTTCGACAGTAATTCTCATTTGTATCATGGTTCACGTGACGTGATGAATATAATTTACTTAAAATTTTTGTCAATAAATTTTTTTAAGTAAAACATTAGGATCACAAATTAAATATATTAAAATAATATGTAAATATTTTTAATCCTACATCTTTATATGTGTGTATTATATGAAATTTTATTTGACCACTATCATAATTTATCTTTTATATATTATATGATAGTTTATCCTATTAAACTTTTTAATTCAATTATAAATATATAATTTATTATGATTGAACTTTTTAAATTGCAGATATATAATTTATTATGAGATAATATTTAACAAAATTTTACGTGCCCATAACATAAGGATTAATTGATAGCCAATTGCAGAGTCATGAACTTGGCATATCCGATGCAAAACAACATATAAATATAATCTCAAAATTCCATCTCTTAATATAGAACTTCAATCAAATTAATCATTTCAAATCACTCCAATTAACTAATATAAAACCACTCAAATAATCAGTAGTCACTCCACTCCAATATATATTATTAAATCATATTAAACGAAACAAATCTTACACGAGTATGCTTCTTAAAAATCAGCAAAATTTCAAATATAACTTTCTTCATCATGGAACCGATAACATATTTTTCAATAGCAAATATTTTAGATTCAGTGCAATGCACTGAATTTTTTTCTATAACAATTTCGTCCTAAAACTGATTTTAAAATAATGCAGATCCAAATTATTTTTTACCAGCTTAATTATTTTAAGATTAGTTCAACTATTAAAAGTTTTAGTTCAGATTAGTTGCTTTTGGATTGGGGACAATTATTGTGAATTAAATTTCCCACTTATATCACCAAAGAGATAATATATATTCTTGGTTTGCATGGATCAGATTCTACATATAACATTTAACATTTTAACATATTCTAACTCACGTTATTCTATTGATTAAAATTCATCAAAAATTACAAAATGATGAAGGTTCGTTGAAACAAAGATTCATTTCTAACATCATGCAGCACAAGTCTCCATGCTTGGATGCAATCCATCATCCCATTACCTACTGACTACAATCTTTTACAGCTAATTGTACATGAACCTGAGCTCTATCAATTACACACCTAGAAATGACATTAAATTATAATAGTTTAGAAACTCTAACATCAAAACAATTTCATGAGAGCAACCACTTTCAAGCTTTACTTCAGCTTCAGAAGTCACACTTCATTATGTTACAAGTTCACATCCAGACTCCAATTGGCAACGATCATTGCTTCAGGCTTTTCAAAGCAGCAGCAAAAATCTAATAATGAAGAGAACAACCATAAATTAGTTATCTGTTATAGTATTTTTTTAGCAGTATATTATCAAAACTAGTGTCTATTTCTAAAAGTGAGCAGACAAAGTGACTCATTCAGATTTCTGTTGTGATATTCTAAAGCATTCTTTTTCTTGTCAATACAATACTTAAATTAAAAAAGGAAAGTCTCACTCAAGAAAAACATGTTTCAACACCTATTAATGATAAAAGATTCATCATTTGAGAATGTGCCAAATTCCTTGAAATGCTAGAGCAACTGTGCGTTCAGACACAAAACAAGGTAAGGAATGCATGCACAAATGAACAGCTTCAGTTTGAATACTCCTTAACAAGAATCAAGATTCGATACACAATGATGCAAGAAATAGATGGAACGTGCTAAAAAATTAAACATGATTTGTTTACATTATCATGATAAAGGCTGAGCTGAGCCTCAATAAAGATGGCTTTACGGGTAGATGTGAAAAACCACCACATTTCTAAGGATTTGCGTTCATTGTGGCTAGACAAGACCCTGTGTCCGAAACCTGCCCCCATCCTTGCCAAGAATTAAGAAAATGGGTGCACACCTTTTCCCAATCGAGAGTGATAAAAATCCTCCTACATTCCCTACTTTGATAGTATATAAAGTAGATATTAATAGTAAATTAAAGAAAGTCATATAACTAATTCAAAGTTGAAGCCTAGCCTTCTGATTTATCTATACGTATTGGGTAATATATTCTGGATAATAAGCAAGTAACCCTCCTCCTCCCCCACGTTCAATAATTACTAGGTCAAATTGACAGTACAAATCAAATACCTGAATTAATATGAATTGAAGCAATATCCTAACTGACATGGTCCATAAACCAGTCATATAAGCATTAGGCATAATTTATGTATTGTCCCATTGGGGAAAAAAAGGGTGATAGAATCGATATAAAGTGAGTGTTACACCAAATGAAAAAATTCCCTTTTTAGCGTTTTCTTGAGCTTTTGTTTCCAGTGTTTGTTTTATTTCTTATATTATATAATAATAACTATAAAATGGGGCTGAATTCTCTAACAAAAAAATTATAGAACATATATAATGACAACATTTCCAGAAATAGATACCTTAGACGGTGCTCGAGGATACTGTTTCAAATCTGCTCCTGCAGCGGTAAACCGATTATCCCTACTGCTCCCCTCACTATTATTACTACTTCTTTGCATTGCATGATGTGATGGCAAGGTCCCATCGTCAAAATTCTTATTTAACACACTGGATGGTATATTGTCCTTTTCCATAGACCTGTCTCGTGATCGTAGATTATAAGATCTTGCAATATTTGTGTCCTCGTCATCAGCATTCATTGTAGCAGGTGCATCGTTCCGAGCAGTAGTACTATGAGGCTTCTGATCCTTCTTTGAGAACTGAACGGATGCTGCCTGTGCCCCAGCTATGGCCAGACTTATACTGGATGATTTGTCCACTTCAGTTGCTTTTGAATTAGGAGTAAGCGCAGAGATGGAACCTGGCTTCAATGAAAATTGATCTCGTGGATCTAGAAGTGGGAATTTCACTGGCAGGGGACCATTAACCGGGGACAGCCCTCTAACTGCAGCATCATAAATCTTCAAACAAGTAGAAAAATCAGCCTTCATTCCAAGAAAAAACAGAAAGAAAGACAGCAACTTAGAATCACTATACCTTCCTTTCCAGGTTATAAACACCTTGGTACCCCCGCATCTCAAATGGAATCAACAATTTCTGAATCAAGCACAGAAAAAAAACATTTAACACTTGCTCAGCATACACACAAGCAGTACGAAATCTTATAACCATAGGAATAGCACAGCAGTAGAAAGACACACAAACCTGTGGCCGTTCACACAGCCAGCAATAATCAGTCTGTGCTTCCAACCTCACCTAAGGGAAAAAAAAATTACGGTCTTAAGTGAAGAGAATATGCACAACTATTAAACAATAACTTAAAAATAAAAATTTAATATTGGGTAAGGTACCCCTTCAGGAACCATCTCCCAGCACGCTAGCTCGTCACGTGTTAAGCAGCCAACTACTTCAACACAGCCTGTGTATCAAGCATTCAAATAGGTGAGTGATGAATTGAAGTGAATTGACAAAGAAGGAGGTTGTGAATTGTGACATTGTATTGTAATTTATACCCAAAAGCCTAGAAACGGGGTAGTGTTGGGGAAATTGGATATCAGTGATGCCATCGAGCGCATAAATCTCCTTGTAGAAATATTCCATTGCTTTGATTGTGGACTCATCCGGAACTTTACTGGCGGCATGAATCCAAAGACGACCTTAAAAAACAAAAAGATTAAAGAACATCAAGACATAGGACAGACGACACAGTTCAGGTTAATGCGATTGTTTCATACATAAAGATTGGAAGCAGAGAAAGAAAGGGAGAGAGAAGAAGAAAATAAACCTGTGATTGGAGCGGGCCATGATCTGCCCTCGACACGCTTGATCCCGTAAACGAGGAGAGAAGCCCAGGGCTGGTGCATCGTCAAACATGGATTCCGGTAATTGCCGGAGTTGGAAAAGTTTCGTCGCATCGTATGGTTTCACCTCGATCTTTACTTCGCTCTCCCACACCAACAAAGATTCTGTTCCTGCGTATCGCAGATACCTCAGTAGAACGATTCCTCGCTGTTGCCTTTGGTTATTCACGGTTTTTAAGCTTTCGTATTACAAGTTTAAGAACAATATCTTATATCTTCAAATATTTAATTCATCATTTATCTTTTTAATCTATATTTTAAAGATAAAGTGTTACATTTTTTAAGAATAAAATATCGGAATGAATCTAATCATTAAGAAAAATTATTTAAAATGTAATTTAATTTGAAATTAAATAAAAAACTTTAAAATTTTGAAAATATTTGTGTGTATACAGATACTAAATATTACTCAATATTCTTATACTACACTAAAGCTTGATCCCTAAATCCTTGTAGGCGCATTTTGACACCTTTATCATAAGTCAATAATAAAACCTATATGCTAATTTTAGATATTTATATTCTTTATTTTTTTTTAATAAATGGTTTTCATCTCCTCCTATTTTTGATGAAGTAAAACTCATTTATTTTATTGCTTTATTTAAAAATTACATGTTCACTCAAATAAAATATAAATAAAAAAATCATGAAAATTTAGAATAAGTTTAAGAATATTAATTTAAATTTTTCATCATACAAAAATATAAGAAGATCTGGTTTTAAAACTTTATCAAGGCAGCAATATTCACGTCATATGGACTACTATATTAATTGGAAAAACTGTTACAAACCAGAAAACTAACATCAAACTTTAATCTAAAAAAATCACCTTTTTCGAGTTCTTAATAAAGTAACAAGCATGGTCTTTGTTTTATTTATATTTTTATTGTATTACAATTATATAATAATAAATTATTTATATGTTTTTATAGCTATTATTTATTTAAATTAAAATGACAATTCCTAATAAAAATATTTTATATAGGTTTTTAGGATAGTTTATAATTTAGAAATTGTACAATTTTATGATATTTTAGATATATAATAATTAAATCTTCATTTTTTTGTTTATTGATTTTTTTTTCAATTTGAAACATTAATTTTAAATTTAAGTTTAATATTTTTAAATAAAATAATAAACCATTTTATTAAAATATAAAACGATAAATATTTATTTAAAATTTAAAGAATGCGTGAGTGTTTTTTTATTAAAATAAAAAGAGAAGCATGTCTATTTTAAAATTAGATAACTTTAAATTAAATAAATTTAAAATATGTAAAAAAATGTTTATGTTTGGGTTGACTGTTTAATAAATAAAATGAAATCAAATAAGTTTTGTTAACAAAAAAATATATATATTAGTTTAAATGCACTATTATTTTTAAAAATTACCGTTCCAGTTTAAATAATTATAATTATGTTACTTGTTACAATATCAAATATTTCCTTTCCTATACGCTTCCAAAAAAAAATACTCTCTATAAAATATGATATTGACTGTTTTAATTATTAAAAATATATATTATAATTTTTTACCTCTTTAAAAATATATTGTGTTTATATATATATATATATATATATATATATATATATATATATATATATTATAACAATAAAATTAATTCAATAATATGATTCATGTCACGTGTGAGCTTTACACAAAATTTATTCGTGTACTAATAATTTATTTGTGTATAATTAAAAATGTAAATTTTGTTATATAATATAATCTTGTATATCTATTTTAAATAGATCTAAAACATTGTGATCTACCGGGTATAATTTTGCGATATAAATTAACTTAACTCGACTCAATCTTTAAATTTATGAGTCAAGTAATTTTATAAATAATTATTAATTTGAAATTAAAATTATAGTATTATTTTTTTAATATATATTATAAATTAAGTCATTTAATTCAAAAGTAAGAATTAATTTTTGTATTTATATTATAATGAAAATAATTTGTTTTAACATAATTTAAATTTTAAAGATATGTTATATATTTTTTATATATTATTTTTACAAAGATACGTTATATTTTAAAATCTAATTGCATCATCTACTAACTTAATATATGACGTCAAAATAATATTAATATATATATTAATATATTTTTTTATTATTTGGGAAGGAGAAATCATGAACACCAACTACCCATTTTAATAACCCTAATCTTATATTAAACTTAACCTTTGTTCATATTAATCTTCTTAAGGAATAAAAGGTTTTATTGTTTATCATTACTTTGCCCTAATAACGTACACGTTAATCTATCTCTCTTACATTTTATCCTCTGAGTGGAGAAAAACCTTTAAGAAACTTTCCTATATCAAGCTTTTACCTCATTTCATAAATGTTCCAATAAGTCTCGCTAAAACGACTAAGAGATGGTGACAACAAGATCAAAATATAGATCTACCAAGGAAAAATGTTATTACCCAACTAAGTAGATAAGATATGATACAAATTAAAATACATGACAAAAAGAGAATCAAATGCTTAAGAAACATAAATAAAGGGAAAGAAAAGAAAATGCATGTACTTAACATTACTTTAATACTTATATTATTCTATTTAGGGTTCAAAATATGTATAAACTTCCACTTAAACATGTGAGTGTTTGTGAAATAATTCACAGAGAATAATACTAACTATATATTTATATAATTAAATTAAAATAAAATTTGTGATTATTTATTTTAAAATACGTTGTTGATTTTAATTAATGTTTTTAATTAATGAATTAATTAATATGAATAAATATATTTTTGTTATTAATTTGAAAGTTCAAGTGAAAAAATCACATATATAGTATATATGTCAACTTATGTAACAATAATTTTTACGAAATAAAAATTAAATCAACATAATTAAAAAAACTCATTATATACTTTTCAATGTTATCATTTTATACGACTTACTTTTCTAATTCATCATAATTATAATGGCTATTTTAATTAATACAATAATACAAAATGTTATTTTAAATGAATTTAAATACAAGCAAAATAACATTTTATTCACTATACCAAATTTCAATGATGATATTTTAAGAAAAAAATAATTAAAATTTGATAAAGTCAAATAATGTTAACCAATTTTTCAATTAATGTAAAATTATTTTTTATATTTAAATCAAATGTTTTCTTTTCAAAATTATCATATTATCAATCACTAATGAAAAACTAATACAAAAACAATTATAAATCATATTTTATATAGAAATACTAATTATAATTTAGAATAATATTATATTAATAATTGATTATGAAACATATATTTGGTTCACGATCCATTATATTAATATAATTTATATATCAATATAATGGGTTCACTAGTGGAAAAATAGCTTTCTATGACGAGTTTTTATCACGGTCGTAATCCACCAGTCATAGTATGTGGCGCGGTGACAATTTTGTAATAAAATCATAAATTTTCTATGTCGGGTAAGTTTTAACCGACATAGTAAGTGGAAAGGTCACTTTCTATGTCGGGTAAAATTTAACCGACATAGAAAGTTCACTTTCTACGTCGGTTAAAATTTACCCGACATAGAAAGTTAACTTTCTATGTCGGGTAACATTTAACCGACATAGAAAGTTAACTTTCTATGTCGGGTAACATTTACCCGACGTAGAAAGTGAACTTTCTATGTCGGGTAAATTTTAACCGACGTAGAAAGTGTCTTTGATGACGGGTGTTAGGGCAACCGACATAGTATCTTCTGTTTTACCCTCCTCCCGCGCTCCATTTCATTTCATCACTTCCCCCATAGCAGAGCTCCCCGCACGTTTCTCCCTACGCTCCATTTCCTTTCATCAGTTCACCCATACCAGAGCTCCCCCGTTCGCTTGTATACGTTTCTCCGCACCCACATTTGCTCGTCACGCCACCCGCCAACGCTTCGTGCCGCCTGCTGCTACTCGGTGCCCGTCGCACTGGGATACGTTTCTCCCCACCCAGCTCCGCACGTCACGCCACCCGCCACCTCTGTAGGTCTTCAAGAGGTAAGTTTTCGTGCTTGCTTTAGCCAATGTAGGTTTACGGTATTGAATCTAGTAAGTAATAATGTCTGTCAAGAGAGGGAAACATCACGGGTGCCTTTAGCTAATTTAGAGATGTATTGTAAGTAGTTTAGTCATTTGAATGTGTTTCGTAGGCATTCTTTCGTGATTTTGATTTTGAACATTAGATTTGTATTATAATGTAGTTATTTTGAGAGTGGAGTTGGATTTCGTGTAGGCATTATAATGTAGTTATTTCGTGTTTACGTAGCTAATTTGATTTTGAAAATTAGATTTGTAATAATGGATCGGAGTTGGATCAATTATAGACGAACAACAAATGAATATGAGAGTGGAGTAGAACAATTCCTTGAATTTGCTAAGATGAATGTTCCGGATAATGATGGAAGATTCTATTGCCCTTGTGTTAAGCTGCTTGAATGAGCGAAGATTACCGATCGAAGTTATTCGGGAACATGTTCTTTGTGATGGTTTCCTAAAGAGTTACATAAAGTGGACATGGCATGGTGAATTATTAAACATGCCAAGTGTAGAAGACAAAGAAGAAGTTGATCTAGAGATGGATGATCAGCTGGAGGAAATGATTCGTGAGCTTGGACAAGATGCCTTCCAACACACACATGTGTACGAGAAGTTGTCCAATAATGCAAAAGAGCCTTTGTATACAAATTGTACTAAGTTCACACGATTGTCGGCGGTACTAAAATTGTTCAATGTGAAGGCAAAGAAAGGGTGGATCGATAAAAGTTTCACTGAAATTGCTTGAGTTGTTGAGTGACATGCTCCCTGAAGGTAACACATTGCCAACCCGCAATTATGATGCTAAGAAGATATTGTGTCCAATGGGTATGGAGTACCAAAAAATTCATGCATGTCCGAATGATTGTGTGTTGTACAGGAAAGAATTTGAGAACTGTCACGAATGTCCACAATGCGGGGAATCACGATACAAGAAGAAGGATGGTGATTCTGACAATGATGTTATGAAGGGTACCCGGCAAAAGTGTTATGGTATCTTCCCATTGTTCCAAGGTTGAAACGATTATTCACTAATGGAAATGATGCAAAGCTCACTAGATGGCATGCGAGATAGTCGTATTAAAGATGATCAATTGAGGCATCCGAGCAGATGGATTGCAATGAAAAAAATTGATTCCATCTTCCAGAATTTTGGTAATGATCCAAGAAACATTAGGTTTGGACTTGCTACGAGATGGAATGAATCCATATGGAAATTTAAGCAAGTAAACATAGTTCATCGCCTGTGGTGTTAGTTATTTACAACTTACCTCCGTGGTTGTGTATGAAACGTAAGTACTTGATGCTATCTTTGATGATCTCGGGTCCCGGACAACCTGGAAATGACATTGATGTTTTTTAAGCCCATTGGTTGAAGAGTTGAAGATGTTGTGGGAGGAAGGTGTTGATGTGTTTGATGGGTACACAGGTGACTTATTCAAGTTGCGTGCAATGTTATTTTGTACAATTAATGACTTTCCAAGCATATGGTAATTTGAGTGGCTACAAGCACAAAGGGACATAAAGCTTGCCCGATATGTGAAGAAGACACATGTCACTATCAACTACAACATGGAAGGAAAACGAGTGTACCTTGGACACCGAAGATTTCTTCCTTCAAACCATTCATATCGTAAATTAAAAAAATCATTTAACGAGTGTCAAGAAAATGATGCAGCCCCAACACCTTTAAGTGGGGAAGAAGTATATCAACGAGTAAGTGCAATTTCGTGTGAGTTTGGAAAGACGCAAAAGAAAGCCACAGGTATATGGAAGAAAATGTCAATCCTTTTTGTTCTTCCATATTGGAGGGTTCTTGATGTGAGGCATTGTATAGATGTCATGCATGTAGAGAAAAATGTGTGTGACAAGTATCATCGAATGCTCCTTAACATTCAAGGAAAAACAAAAGATGGTGTCAATGCTTGTTTGGACATGGTTGAAATGGGTATAAGAGAACAATTAGCTCCTCAACCTCATGGTAACCGAACATACTTGCCTCCAAGCATGTCACACACTCGTCTAAAAAAGAGAAAAGAAGTTTTTGTGAGTTTTTACGAGGTGTGAATGTTCCATTTGGTTACTCTTCCAATGTGAAGAGACTTGTATCTATGAAAGATCTCAAATTGCTTGGGTTAAAATCTCATGATTGTCATGTATTGATGCAACAACTTCTACCTGTGGCTATTCGAGGTATCTTACCGCACAATGTTAGATATTCCTTAACTCGATTATGCTTTTTTTTTAATGCCATATGTTGTAAAGTTATGGACCCGGATGTTTTGGATCAGTTAGAGAATGAGGTCAGCAGTAATATTATGTCAATTTGAGATGTACTTTCCTCCATCATTTTTTGATATTATGGTTCACTTGATTGTTCATCTAGCCAGGGAAGTTAGAATCTGTGGTCCAGCTTTTCTTACGATGGATGTACCCTTTTGAGCGATACATGAAAATATTAAAAGGGTATGTGAAGAACCAATATCGTCCTGAAACATCAATTGTTCAAAGATATATTGCAGATGAAGCTATTGAGTTTTGCACAAACTACTTATCAGAAGTTGAACCTATAGGGTTACCTAAGACTCGTTACCATGGAATAGGTCTTGGTAGAGGAACTCGAGGTGCAAAAGTTGTGACAATGTGTCGAGATGAAGTACTTCAAGCGCATTTGTACATATTGAATAACAGTGAAGAAGTCATCCCCTACTTAAGTGCTCATAAAGAGATTGTGAAGCGAAATAATCCACGTATGCCTAAAAAGTGGGTGATCACCGAACACAACAAGAGCTTTTTGAAGTGGTTTAAACAACAAGTTGAAGGTGACAATACAGCTTCTAATACACTAAAGTGGCTAGCATGTGAGCCAAACTTTGATGTGATATGTTGGGGTGGGTATGATATAAATAACTATTCATTTTATACAAAGGGAGAAGATGAAATAAGCACAATGCAAAATAATGGAGTCATGGTGGTGGCTGAATCAATGCATTTCTCGAGTTCAAAGGATAAATATCCGATAATGGCGTCAATGGGCTACTTTGGTGTAATTGAAGAGATTTGGGTAATAGATTACACGATATTCAGAGTACCTATTTTTAAATGCAAGTGGGTTGATTTTAATACTGGCATCTTCACCGATGATCTTGGATTTACCTTGGTTAACCTTGAAAATACTCGTTATACCGAAGAACCATTTATCATGGCATCTCAGGCAAAACAAGTGTTTTATGTCACTGATCCCGCTAACAAAGGATGATCAGTGGTTCTACAAGGAAAACCCATGTATACTTCTGATGAGAATGATGAATTAGTACTTGATATACCCGAGACACCATGTTTCTCTTCAAATATGCCAAACTTGAGTGTTAATGTAGAAATAGATGATGTGCATGCCATCCGTTATGACCATATGGAAGGATTTTGGGAGAATGCTCCAACTTGATAATGTATGAAATTTTTTTAATGTTTTATTTTTTAATGTATGCACTTTTTTGTTTATCTTCAGTCATATTGTCTAAACTAATAACTATTATTTTTTTCTTTGAACACAGATATGGCAGATTCATCTGGTACCCCTCCTCCTACACAGTCCCCCTCCTACACAAGGTGGTGATCGGAGTCGACCGTCTACCAGGAAAAAGGGTAGGCGTGCTACACGGTTGAGGGAGTTGAATATCAGTCGCAGCTCCGATCAGAAATTGCCTATCCAGTTTGACATGCAAACTGGTAGAGCCACTGGAGAGCACAGTGCTAGATTCACTAGCTATGTGGCCTTGCTTGGGAGAAGCAAGGTTAGTATTCTTATTGAGGATTGGGACCATGTTCCAGAGACACTGAAGAACCAGATTTGGCAGAGTATCCTGGTACCTACTCTTACTTGAGCATTTAACATGTATATATATTTAACTTTTTTTGGGAACTTCATGTTATTTTTATTGTGTAGGTCACATATGATGTCCCTAACACCACTTTGTTGAGGACAAAGTGGATCTCATATGATGGGGAACGTCTGGAGAGGTTTTAAGAGTGATCTCGACCAGGTCGATACATATATGGGGCATTGAGCAACAAGAACCCATGTGACCAGTATCGCTTTTGGATGAGGAGACATGACGGGCATTTCGGACTCAGCGATTAGACCCTAGGTTTCGAGGTTAGCACATTTGTCATTTGTTTGCAGTAATTTTTTTTAAATAGAGGTTTTAAATTTGGTATTTAACATGGAATGCAACAGAGCCAAGAGGCGAAGGCACGGGATATTCGGAGGAAGAATATCCACCCCACAGAGTTGTCTCGTGGGGGTTATGAGAAATTGGAGGAGAAGATGATGAAGGAGACTTCTTCAAGTCTACCTTCAGATGACTTCGTTGTGAGTTCTGTCACCCGCCCTTCACGCCATGATAAATGGAAGAGAGCTCGCTGGAACTCATCGGGGAATTACTTATCTCGAGCAAACTAATGTTGTTGCTCAACGTATTGTAAGTAGTATATCCTAAACTAATTATATATGTTATACTACAATAGGCATTTGTATTTGCTAAAAAATCATTCGTTTGTGTTGTAGGATGAGTTGGTTAAGCAGAGCACTCAGGGATCATTCCACCCACATAGCCGTCAGGATATATTGGCAGTGACCATTGGTACCCCGGAGCATCCTGGACGTGTTCGTAGTGCCGGACGAGGGGTGGGCATCGAGCAGTACTTTGGTGCCCCACCCGTGGCAACTCCTTCTTTGAGGCAGCTCGAATGAGCAAGAGTTTGAGTCCCTCAAACAACAAATTAGGAAGGAGATTCGAGATGAGGTGTACTCGACTTGAAGGCGAGTTATTGAGCTCAATGCGAGCAGAGTTGGCATCTTTGTCATCTCAACCTTCCGTCCCCGCACGAGCGGCATCCCCGATTCATGTCAGCACAAAGGAGAGTTGTGATGCTCCTGATAGAGGGGCAGAGGTTGCTCCTACTGACACTGCTGACCGTCGGTTGTATGTTGCGGGTCCTCCCGAGCATTTGGTGGCATACTGTACGTATTATATCTTTGACATGTATTTGGTACAGGTGTTACGCATTATATAGTCTAAAATATTTTATCCTTTGTTTACCTTAGGGAAAATGTATGCATTGGGGTCAACCATCCACCACCGGAGTATTGAAGATGATATGATCGGAGTGGTGGTTGTAGATGTCCGGATGCTGCTGCCCTAATCCCTATTCCCACTGAAGAGGTTCAAACAAGTGGGACAGTGCACCTGGCCATTTTATCTTATGGCCAGTTTCATTAACAAGACCCATCCCAACACATGCACAGAGTTGATTTATGCATTGAACGATAGTACTTATTATTTTTTGATAGGTTGATGTATATTAATGTTATTGATTTTTGGTACTTGTATAGGAAGAGGCTGAAAAAGCAAAGGAAGTTGTGCATGAATCACCACCACCACCATCTCGCTTTACAGCGACTCGGTGCATCGGCGACGACTATCGGGACCACTCCCATACAGTTAGATATGCCACCCGAAGTCGTATGCAGGACCAAGATGATCTCTTTTTTCTTACTCCAAAGGGATATTTTTGATATTCTCACTGGTACTGATATGCTATGTGTATCAGTGTTGCAGCTTTGGGAAATGTAAGTATATTTACATATTTTTTATATTCTCACTGGTACATTATTTTATAACTTTATTTATTTTCAATGTTGAAGGTATTTACATCGTTTGTGTGTTGAGAGGAAGATCCGCTATCTCTATGGATTTGTTGACCTCGTTGCCATTTAGTCCAGTTGGGAATAAAGTCGAAGAGGTGCAAACGTACTTAATAGAGGCATTTCAAAATGGGGGCAAAGAAGTCTACTTAGCACCTTACTTGCATCAGTAAGTATACATCTTGTAAATTAATGCACATTTATGTAAAACTGAAATTTTACTAATATTATTGCAACGTGCAGGGGTCATTGGCAGCTCATAATAATTGTTCCTCGCCAATTTCTTGTGATTCTCCTGTGTTCATTACACAAGAAACCAAATGATTTGGATATTAAAAAGCACATAGACGCGTAAGTTTGGTTGTTTTTAATTGTTGTATCATATGTGCACTACTTACACCAAAATTATTTGTCCTTTTGTAGAGCTTTGGAAGCTCACCTAAGGTTGCAAGGTCTTCCATCTCATGCTAGAAAGAAGTTGACGTATATTGCACCAAAGGTGACAAAACACCTCTTACTGTTGTTCAATTTGTCATTTAAAGTTAATCTGACATGTATTTAACTTGTAGTGTCCACGCCAACCGGGAAGTTATGAGTGCGGGTTTTATGTGATGAAGCACATGCACACCATTGTAGCCAAAAATATTCTTGACACGTGGAGGGAGGTAAATATACTATAATTAAGTCAAATATGCCAATTATGTAAATGATTTCTAAATCTGAAATGTTTCAATATGTAGGAATTTACAGACTCATCTCCAATGAAGATTGAAGTCTTAGACGATATCGAGAGCAATGGGCTTCTTTCCTTTTAAGCATTCAATCTTCATAGGAAATTTAACTTGTAACAATTTAGATAGAATTGATTTAAGTTAGGAAATTTACATTCGTTTAAGTAAATGAACTGTCTGGAACTGGATCTGTCTGTACATATATTCATTTCAATGTGTTTCATATGTACATATCTGTCTGCAACTGAATCTGTCTGCATACTGGATATATATATATATATATGTAGCAAATTTATATATGAACTGTGCATATCTGTCATGCATCTGGATCTATGGTTATTTGTCTGGAACTGTGATGAATAGGCGAGTCTACTCGAAGAAAGGTAGCATCTCGTAAATAAAATGCATGTATTTTAAAAAAAAACACTTTCTACGTCTGGTTATGCCATTAACCGACGTAGAAAGTGTAACATTTTATGTCGGTTATAGGCATAACCGACATTGATAACACATACAATAACTGAGTCATCGTTAACCGATATAGATACCTGGGGTTATAGAAAGTTAGAAAGTAAGACTTTCTATGTCGGTTATAATTTTAACCGACATAGAAAGTAAGACTTTCTATGTCGGTTATAAGTGTTAACCGACATAGAAAGTATTACGACAGTCGAATCAGTTATGATCGATCAGATTAGCTTCATGACCGATCGAACCGGTTATGACCGATCAAAATAGCTCATACAAAATAAGACTTTCTACGTCGGTTCCCTGACTAACCGACGTAGAAAGTCTTTCATGACCGATCAGAACCAGTTATGATCGATCAGAATAGCTCTATGACCGATCATAACCAGGTTTGACTGATCATAATAGCTCAAAGAAAGTAGGGCTTTCACGTCTGTTATTAGGAACCGACGTAGAAAGTCTTACTTTCTATGACCCCGTATCTATGTCGCCGCTTTAACCGACGTCGAAAGCCCATTTTAACCGATGTAAAAAACCTTTTCTCAAGTATAAATTTGTATATATTTTAAATCTAATAATTAATATATATTTTTATAATTTAAGTATTAAAAATAAGAATAGATAAAGTTTAGAGATATAATAATCGATTGTAATTAACAATTTTTTTTTGTGTTAATTAATGACAACTTATGTAATTAGTTACTATGCTTTTATTTATTAACTGAAAGTTGCGTTTATATATTTGAAAACTAATTTTTGATTTTTCCGGTGAATGACCGGAGTAATTAAGTTGGTAGGTGAGCGAAGGGAGCATGGTATTATATTCCACACTATGAAATCTCATCCCTCTCTCTCCTTCCCCTTCTCCTGACCTAATCAAACTCATCCCTCTCTCCGCTGCCCAATTTCCACCTCACCAAACTCAAACCGATGTCTGTAACCATCCCACGCCGTCACCCTCAAACCACGCCCTTCCCATAGCAAAACGACTGCGCTTCGGTAGTCGTCTCCACCGAGGCATGTTATTCGCTCACTGCCTCTACTCTTCCTATAACACTCACCATCGTATTCGCATCCAGTAGAGACGTTGACTTCGTGCTCGTTCTGGAAGGGGAACTAATGGACCAAGCACTTGTCGACGACATAATCAATCGCCTTCTCGAAGTTCGCGGCCGCCCGGGGAAGCAGGTGCAGCTGTCGGAGTCAGAGATCCGCCAGCTCTGTGCCGCTTCCCGAGAGATTTTCTTGCAGCAACCTAATTTGTTGGAGCTCGAAGCACCAATTAAGATTTGTGGTAATTTCTTTGTTCTTCTCTACCAATTCGCTATTGTCGCCTTGTTGCTCTTCTTTAGCCCTTGCATAACCCCTCCCGAAACCGATTAGTTTCGTGTTTGAGCATAGGAAGATCCGTACTAGAATATCGCATCTGACTTGGTCAACTGCGAGGGTTTTATATGTGTGTTTTTGCTATGATCTAAGTGCTTCGGGACTGTTTAAATTCCTTGCCGTGCGATTTTGTGTCTGGGGTTTAAAAAGTTAGTTTAGTTTACTTTTCTGCTCTGCTTGGTTGCAAATTCGTAGCATGCGTCATTTTTTTTTTCTGCAATGTTGTGCTAGTTTATTGGTAATGGTAGTATGTTATACAGGGAATAAGTGGTGAAGTTTATGGAAGATAAATTTGGTGAAAGTATCCTTAATGCGACCCTGGTGTTGATGATGTGTCTATTAAGATTGTACAATTAGTCCAATGTTAGTACTAATATATTAATGGGCATGTAGTCCTAGCTTATTTATAGTGGAAAGAGAAATGGATGTAACTTCATATATCATAATAGCTAAAATTGCTGAGGCTAACAGTTGCCGGCTTTTTGGTCTGAGGTGAAATCCATTGACCATAGCACTTCAGTCTTCCTTGACCAAATGTAGTTTTTGTCTTGTGTTCTCATCCTTGTCAAAAGCTGAGGCATTGGTGGCCTATCTTCGTTTCGTTCTTTTTCTATTTAAATGAAAATGGTCAAATAATTTAATCCCCTTTTCTTTTTTATGTTCCTCTATCAAAGCTTATTGGACCAAGATCTGCGTCTGTCATCCCTAAGTCAGTTCTCTTGTTTGTCTGTTACCGTGGGATCATGGTTGGGGGTTGATGCTACGGGAGCTTATTAAGTTATTATGCAGAAAAATAAACCCAAACCTTGAACTCAGCATTCATTTGCTCAAATAGTTTACTGCCTTCAATGTGTTGTGCTATTTGCTTTAATATAATATCGGCAACAAAGACAGTATCAACTATTCTCAATAATTTCTAACTTACTCAGATGTTTTACAATGAAATGTCATGCAGAGAAAGAGCAATGCTACTGTGATAGGGAATTGAGTATTATTGGATGGCTAGGTACCAGACTGAGTAGTATGGGTGTTTAATGGGGCATTTAAGTGTTTTGTTCTCTTTTCTTATTTACTAGCTTTTGAGGATGGGTTCTTCAAGTGCTTATAATTTGGTAGCAGAGCCTGGTTGTTGGTGTCTCGAAAATGACTACCTACTGAGGGTTTTTACTAACGGATAAGGGATTTTGAATGACACTGAGTGAAGTGTCGTAGAGTGAAAGCTGTTGCGAAGTTGGTCTTAGGGTGCGGTGCTATTATAGGTACTTGTGTATTATGTGGTGCCTAAGTCCCATATATTAATGGATCTTTTAGGTTAGACTGGTGATGGTTGTACATAGAAAGCTGCAAACTTGAGGTCCATATCTTGACTAACAAAGTCATCTTCCATATCTAAGTTCAATACTTGCATGTTGACTTGGCACACACATGTCCTGATTCAAACTTTTCATCCCATATCTTAATGGATTTCTTTGATGTTAGACATGTGATGTTGTATATAGAAAACTGCAAATTTGAGATCCATTTATTGAGTAACAAAGTCATCTTCCAGGTCTAAGATCAATACTTGCATCTGCTTGTTGGCACACACTTGCCCAGATCCAAACTTCTCATTACATTTAAAACTTAGTGCATTGTTTCTCCTTCATTGAATTTTAGCATCAAACATTCTTTAAATCCTCTTCCCCTAAAAGAGCTTGTTGTTTTTAGGCTACTAGGATCACTTTCCAGGCCAGCGTTCTTACTTTCTATCTCCTAAGTATCTGTTCTTGTATTAGAGTAGCTTTAATTATGCCCTCCCTTATTAATCCAAGAAACCCCTTGACTGAGTAACATAAATTCTTTGTCCATACCCCCATCAATTCAGGTAAAGTCTTGAACTGATGCAACATAAATTCAGCCCATAAGAAATTATTCAGTCAATTCAAGAAAATTCATTTAAGATACTAGGGGTATGCTCCCTTGGGTGGCCCTACGTACAGTTCAAATGTCTTCCTTTAATGCTCCACCAAACCGGCTTACTCGAGGGTTATCAATAACTCAAATGGTTTTTGGGTCATGGAAAATTGAAATCGCTCAATGAAGTGTACTATGAAAATCCTCCCACATGGGATTCAAAGCACAAAAACTCCCACCATCGCTACCATGTCTGTTAAGGTTTCAACCTTAACATAAAACTAATTGGCAATATGTGGAGTAGCATAACATGTATTTAAACCATACCAAATAACATGAGGTAGGCGATGTGGGACTTCCAACACGCCCCCTCCAATGAAGCCTGCCGGACTAGGCAAAGGGTACTTTTGACCTAACTAAATAACAACTTTTGGTCCATGACAATAACCGGAAAGATGTTAGGCTTTGGTTCTGATATCATGTTAAGGTTCCAACATAAAACCAATTAGCAAAATGTGGAGTAGCCTAACATGTATTTAAATCATACCAAATAATATGAGGTAGGCGATGTGGGACTTCCAATAATGTCAATGCCTTACCATCCATTGTGACAATAGTGCCGAGAAGTATTTTTGCATTGAATACCCCCTTTAAGTTGAAATATCTCTCAATCTTGCTCATCCAACCATAAGCGTCTTTTTGCATACAAATAAGGGAATCTCTAAGAGTCAAACTCTCAAATTCACCTTCATTGCTGGCATTATTCCTGCAAGTGGTGTGGATGTGAAGACCACTTCCCTTTGATTGTTGGTTGAGGTTTTCTAGCATTTCTTTGAACTGCCTATGACTTTTTTTCCCTTTCCTCCTAAAGAACGTGCCTCATTATTTTTTGTTGTGCTCCAATTAATAGTGTTGACATGAAATCATCCTAGTGAGATATTTTGTTGACCTTTGACAGTGTCAAAATTAGCATGTCAACACCATTAATTCAAAATTTAAAGAGTAACTGACAAATCCAAATTAACATATTTATTAAATGTTGGATATCAAAAACACTGAAAACAAATTTATTGTACCAGTGCTGGATGTACCAAAAACTTCTTTTACACTTTCTTTAATTAAAAAAACTTCACAAAAAATGAGCTTTTGACTTCTACATCTCTTCTTTTGTATTTCAAGTCGAAAGATCCAATAAATTTTAACTTACAAGTAATTTTTATGTTTAAAAAATTATAAAATTACCAAATAGCTTTAGCTTTAATTTTAAAGCTATTATTTTTAACTTAGCTTTTAAGCCTAAAATAATTGGGTCAAATGCTGTCTTAATATTTCAATGCAATCATACCGACACTAATGTACTAGATCTCATTAGAACATTTCGGTTAAGTATCTTGGAAGTCCTTTTGTTGCACCTTAACTTGTCCAATTTTTCATAATTGGTTCTAAGCCTGGGTTAAGGAGGAGGGTTGTGTTAGGCCCTCAGCAGCCAATGTAAAACTCTATGATATATCAAGTGTCTTATTGAGATAATAAATATTTTATATGACAAACTGTTTTAATTGTCCTTGAATTGCAGTCTTGCTAAAATCTACTTTTAAATACAATGCATCATAATCTTTTCTATATTGTCCCAAGTTACCTATTTTACTATCTCATAGTCAAGGTTGCTCTATGTGCTTTTATAAGTTTGTCAAAAATCCACAAGTCCAACATTTTTTTACTCATGATTTATTTCTTCTGTACAAGAGATCTGAGTTTATTACCTCAAAGCATCTATATTTATCATATATGCTTAGCCAGTTAAACCAGCGTTGTTAATCAAGATCTGAGAAAAGTTATGAGTCTTATTGATAAATTTGAAGTTTGAAACACAATCTTAGAGATCTGTTCTCAAATGGAGCTTCAGCTCAAGTAATGCATGCTTGTACTTTGTAGGTGTAAAACTTCCCTTCAAAATGGCAAAAATATCTAGTATCAATTGTGAATTGAAATTCCACATTGAGTAGATATAAGAAAGTTGAGTAATTTATAAATGAAAAAGACCCATAATCTAATGTCTTAAGGTTTTTGGTTGAAAGTGATATCATATTTTTTTTATATGGTCAAACTCATGTTTTTATTTGTTGAGAATCTCCCTATCTTTAAATCCCATCGAAAATACCCAATAGGATCCACATAAAATCAATATGCAACATTGGTGATTGAGGAGTTTATTTATGTTCTTTGTAATAATACTTCGGCTAGAAGCAGTTATTTGAAATGAAAAAACTTTAACAAAGATATTCGGTATCGATGTAAAATCAATTACTTAATATGTTGAAGGAAGAATTGATATCCATGAATTCAAATAATAATTCAGCAGGAAGCAATTATTCGAAATGAAGAAATTTAATCAGTGTCAAATAGAACCTAGCAGCATCAAATGTTTCTTTTTTGGCTTGACATTTTTTGGTATACGAATTTGCAAAGATCTTCATTTCTTTTGACATTATCTATTTATTACTGTCCTTGGTAGTGCAATTGCCACATAGTACTTTATTGTGGTTGACAGAAAAAAAAAATGTGATGATTTCTTATAAACCTTGTTTTTATCTCTCAGGTGACGTACATGGTCAATATTCTGATCTTTTAAGGCTTTTTGAATATGGTGGATTACCTCCTGAGGCCAACTACTTATTTTTGGGGGATTATGTGGATCGTGGGAAGCAGAGTTTGGAAACAATATGCCTTCTCCTAGCTTATAAAATAAAATATCCTGAGAATTTTTTTCTTTTGAGGGGTAACCATGAATGTGCTTCTATTAACCGTATATATGGATTTTATGACGAGTGTAAAAGAAGGTTCAATGTAAGGTTATGGAAGACATTTACAGAATGCTTCAATTGCTTGCCCGTGGCAGCACTCATTGATGAAAAGATATTGTGCATGCATGGGGGCCTTTCTCCTGACTTACATAATTTGGATCAGATTAGAAATCTACAACGGCCCACTGATGTCCCTGATACAGGTTTGCTTTGTGATCTCCTCTGGTCAGATCCAAGCAAAGAGGTTCAAGGTTGGGGAATGAATGACAGGGGAGTTTCATATACATTTGGTGCTGATAAGGTCTCCGAGTTTCTTCAGAAACATGATTTGGATCTTATTTGTCGTGCTCATCAGGTTAAATTCCTGCCTTTTGTGTTCAATGTGTTATACTAAGTCTTAGGTTTGAGTTTGTATCTCCATTTTAAGTTTTTGACTAAGAGTATTGTGAGACATTTCCGGGAATATTTATCTATCAGGATTATTACACTTGCTTTACTTCATACAAACATGGAATTTCTGTTTTCCATGTAAATTCTGACACAAATTATTCATACTTCTCCCTTTCAAATGCCATTCATTAGGTTTTGATGCATTTACCTTGAAGGATAGAATCCATCAAGCGGATGTGCTAATAAATTTAGATTGGATTAATGTTTTGAGTTTGACCAGGTGGTGGAGGATGGGTATGAGTTCTTTGCTAACCGACAGCTTGTAACAATATTTTCGGCACCTAATTATTGTGGGGAGTTTGACAATGCTGGCGCTATGATGAGTGTTGATGAGACACTAATGTGCTCTTTCCAAATATTGAAGCCATCTGATAAAAAAGCAAAACTCAACAGTACTACCACTACTAAGCCAGGAAACTCTCCAGCAGGTGTAAAGGTATGAACATTTTTCAACATCTGGTGATGCAATACATACATGAAATCAAGTGGTATAAATTTTATGGCATGTGTAGGGCATATATGTAGATATTTATGAATTTTAACTTTTACAGTGAATTGGCAATTTTATGGAAGCAGACTATTTTGTATCTGTCTCAGACTTGGTTTGTGAATCTTTTTGCAGAGATTCAGAAATAAGATTATCGTAATAATTGCCAAAATCTGCTTTAGCTCTTGCTTTGTATTTTTGAGACACCCGTTTGTCATGATTACAAAAAATTTGGAGAGAAGTGTACACTTTTGGTAGTTTTGTGGGGTTTCATAGATTTAAAACATTCTGGTATTATTTAAGGTTGTTGGAAACTTGGAATGATCTGATTTTATATGTGATAATCATCCTAGGAAATATTTGGTGGATTGAATTTACTTTAGCAGTGGACATAGAATGCAGGTTTTCAATTGAAACATTAGTGTCAATCTTTTGTATTGTTTTGTTCACACTCGATGCTACCAATATATTTCTAAATATTTTCTCTTGTTGCATTTTCAGTCTTTCATGGGTTCAAGAGTATGAAGTTAGTTTTGATGAAATCGTTGCTGCAACCGATCAGCTTGGTCTTGAAGATGTATTAGTTGAAAGGAAAGAAAAGAGTTCCATTTGGTATCCAATGATATTTTGGAATTGTAAAAACAAAGGGAAACACATCATGAACTATGTAGACCGTTGTTTCCACTGGTACAAATTTGCATTTTGAGGTGGACAGCCATAATTTCCTCCGTTTTCTTTTGTACACTAATAGCCGGTATATGTCGTTCTGAGTTGTAAGGTTCTCAAGCGTTGATGATACATCTGCATGTGTTCTGAAAACTAATTAAAAGTGTTTACAGTGGTGAAACCGCTAAAAATGGATATGATCCAGTCTCAGATAATATTTGGTAGCCATTTTCACTTGTGGAAATCCTGTTACTGCTGGATCTCTCAATTCCTAACCTTTTGCTTGAATACCTCTGAAACAGTGAAACAATAGTCACCGGATATACTTTACGGAACCCATTGGTTTGCTATAGCAACTCTAGGATTCATGTTCTCCATGTCCGTAGAATTTGGCGTCTTATAAAGAGATAAAGGTTCACAAATATAACATTTGATGGGAAAATCAAGTAAATTTGAACGTAGCTTGTTTAGCATGTCCAGGAACTTCATGATAATCCTGGCATTAAGTTTGCAAATTATCTCCTAATCTATACATACATCATCCGTTGCTTCTCAAAATACGCAATGACTCAGCATACTTGCTTCTTACACTAAATGGTTCATGGACTGCATTTTCACTTTGTGCAACAAATTATGAATGATGCTTATTTTCTGTCAAGATTGAAGTGGTGTGTTATTGTCTTCGGTTCTTTGCTGGACTTGTGGCGTGTTTGTTCTTTATAAATTTTCCAAAATTATTTTTTACATTAGATGCACAAAGTACCGAAAAAAAAGTTCTCAGAAAAAAAAAATGTGACATAAAAGACGATAAAGTGAATAATCCCATGAACATTTGCATCTAATGTATTGTATAAGTTTTTTTTCTTTCGCCTTCTACTTAGTAAAACGTAAAAAGAATATCCGTGTTTACTTTCTTAAGAATATAAAATAAAAAATAATATAATATAAATGTGACCACGGACTCGTGCGTCTTCCTTGATTAACCTGGCCTAGGTGTAGTTGGACCAAGAAATTCAGTCCTGTTAAAGATTCTCGCTTCTTTGCTTAACGTGACTTCATAATTTCTCTCGCTATCTTCATATTTTAAATATCTGAAATATTATTTTCATAATTTTATTTTTTATCTTAATTTTTTACTATTTTATTTGTGTACAAATTTTACACCTCTACTTTTTGGTGGTTTGATTTTTGTATGATATTATTTTTATTAAATATCTTTTCTAATAATTAAAGATAAATAATTGTTAATATTATATATGAATTATATGTTCTTATATTCAAATGGTACAAATAGACTCAAATTACTCCATTTGAAACGTTATTGTGAAAATAAGGTTGAATTATAGAAAAGTCAATACGAAATGTATCCAAATTAAATGTTCCAGAAATATATTTCGGTTTTAATATTCTGAAAAAATTCATCTAAAAACATATTTTGGACTACTCAATCCAAAATGTATTTTTTGGATTAACTTTTCTTAAATTGCATTTCAAAATGGATGTTCAAAAAAAATCAATCCAGAATTCAAAGATGAAGACTAAGATAATTGTAAAGATAAAATAAGGAAAAAAAGAGTCTCTGATTACTTATTATCGAAATATGTTTAATGAAGTAACAGATTTTCTTTTTGGGCTTTCATATTCTGAACCATAATTGGATACTGATGCGATCTTTAAGAAATAAGAACCACTTTCAATTATCAACGCAGAAAAAAAATGAACCATTTAAAAGGTTGTACGATCGAAATTTTAAAAATTATTATCGAAACTAAGTTAAAAAAATGTGTTTGATAACGCTATAATGAAAATTATTTTAGATAAAGAAGAATGACATTGTTTCTGGTGGAATTTCGATCGATTTCGATTCTAAAGGTGATTTGGTCCTAATCAAAATCCTCCCACGTAAGTTCTTTTTACTTAGGCTAGCAGTCTGACTTTCAATCGAAAACGTGTATGAGAATTGAAAATCACAGAATATCAAAACGCTATTTTTATATTTAAAATACCAAACACGATAAAAATATCGAATCGAAAACAGACTATTAAATTGCAAGGAAATGTAAAGTCGCGAAAACCCCAAATTTGCATTAATTGTAAATGACAGGAAATCGAAAACAGATGCAAATATAAATGACAAGAAATCGAGATTGCAAGAAAAGTAAATGACAGGAAATCGTAAATACGAAACTTAAACTTTCATTAAATTGAAATGACAAGGAATCAAAAAGACGAAACTTAAACTTGCTTGAATTTGAGTTGCATCAAAGTAAATTACCAAGGAAAATACAGAAAGCGGTAAATGTACTCAGTGAGCAAGGAAATCCAGATTGCCAACTTCATGGTGTTCGTCGTTTCTTCGGTAGACTTTTCACTACTGATTCTATTCTCTGCCAATTTCTGCCCCTCGTTCCTTCCTCCTTTGCACTATTTATAGGGCATCATTCAAATCTTCCAGGAGCAGTTAACAAAAACTGCTACCACGTTCTTCGTGCGCGTTGCAGTTTCTTCTTCTGTGGTGTCAAAACTGCACCCACGTTCCCATGATCTTCAACTTCTGCCACGATTTAGAAATTGTTTCTTATATGCGTGTTTAACTCCTCTTTATGATCTGGCCACGATTTCGATTTTATGCGGGTTAACCTTTCTTTCGATTTAGACTTCGATTTTATCGAGAACTTCGGATTTACTTTTGATTCCTTTTTACCTTAGCATCATATACTTCTAATTTCTTGGTTTGTTCCACAATAAACTTTTGACTATTATTTCTCCGATTCCAACTCTAACTTTCGATTTTATGTGCCATGCCATTCTAATTGGACATCGAATGATTCCTCATCTACCTTTTCGTTTTACCGATCAGTCACATGTTTCTCGATTTTTCTTTCCTTCATTTTTTCGATCGCTTTTTTCGATTTCCTACTAACAAAATGCCCCCTTGAAAGAATATCAATAGTTTCTGTTTATATTCTTTCAACGTGATTCCCGCCTTTGCTTGTTAGAGGCCCACAAAACTTAGGGTTTAGGGTTTTTGGGGTTCTAGGGTTTACAGGGTTTTCAATTTTCCTTTTGCTTTATGTCGCCATCGCGTCAGTCTGCTGTCTTACTGTACACGTTACATTAATTACCTTTCACCTCCGCCGTTTCCAGCTCCCTAGGCTATTTTCCCTTTAAACTTTCCATTGGTTTTTTACTCTGGTTTTTTACGCGAACTTTTACCTCTTTGCAACTTCGTCTTCCTTGAGCTCTTGTCTTCATCTCTGCGCCTTCATCTCTCCCATTGCTTTTCTTCACCCTACCCATTACTGAAATGGCCACTTCATCCAAATCTTCTGACTTTTCTGTTCCGCCTCTTCCCTCGTTGACGGCTCCCCTTCTGGAGATCAATAACCAGAAGTTTGCTCCAATTCCTCTGATGGAGGAGGCTTCTCAGAAAATCGCTGAGACGCAGATACTCATTCCTTACACTGCTGATAGTGTTAATTTTGGTTTTGGGGGTCCTGTCCGTTCTAGTAGTGGGACTTTTTCTTCCTTCACCCTCTCGAACAGCCCAACACTTATTCACCACCCTGAGGTTCGGACAGATTTCTTGAATATGGCATCGAGAGTATACCGAACGGGTCCACCTTCCAAAAAACCTTCATTCCTTAGATGGTTTGATAGAGTACAAGCTAAGTTTGGGAACCACTTGAGAGATATAGGGATTTTTGATTTTTTACAGCTATCTCGATGCGATTTGTCGTCTCTGGATATGACAATGTTTTTATCTGCCGTGCATTTGTGGAACAAGGATTTGCATGCCTTGGAATTGCCCTGTGGTCCCCTGTCACCTACTCTCTTTGAGGTTGCTGCTATAACTGGATTAAAACCTACTGGGGAGAAGTATTATAAGGGTGCTTACCCTTCAGATAATTCTTTGAGATCTAAAATCGATTGGGAATCGAAGGCTTACGGACATTTTCTTGAGAAGCATTTCGTCGATGACGAATTGAAGGCTGTGACTAATGAAGAACACATAGCCTTTTTGGTATATTGGCTATGTACCCACGTTTTTTGTCCTCGATCCATCCAAATCTCCTCACACCTCTATAATCTAGCCTATCTTCTCCATACTGGCCAGCCTAAGATATGTTTGGCTAAACTCTTGTTAGCGCATGTGTATACTGCTTTCGACGAGGCTGTCGAAATTTTGAGTACTCCTAAGGCATCGGGAAACTTTTCTGGTCCCATCTGGTTTATTCAGTTATGGTTAAACTCGATTTTTGAGAGCATCCTCCCCCCGATTTCCAGCATCCCCCCAAGTGTAAATATAGAAGAGACCCGATTATCTTCTTGCCATCCTCACCAAAAACCCAATGAAGCTGCTTATTGTCAATACCTTAATTTTTTGTTATCTAGATTTAATTTCGATTCGGCTTTAGCTCCTTTTACCGTGCATCTCGGACGAATGAATGATCAACTCAGGGGACCAATTTGGTTTAAGTCGAAGTTCCCTGCCTCAACTCCTGGATTGCAATTAGAGTTGGTAGATATCTGGAGTAACTATTTAACTCATGATATGCTGGTATCGGGTTTTCAATCCAAAGACTTCAAGATCATCACTTACTACCCTCAGCTATTCTCGAGACAATTCGGCCTGAGCCAATCCTTACCTTTCTTTCCTTTAGATACCTCCCCGAGGTTCAAGTTGAATGAATCGATAATCGAACGGGAGCTTATCAAGCTTTTGCCAAAAACCCCGATGCATTTTTATCCCTATGCTTTCGAGTCAAATTATTTGTCTACTATGTGTTTTTCTCAATGGTGGACTGGTTGGTTCTCGAGTAGTCATGCTACTTTTGATGAAGTTCGACAGAAACTGA